CCACTTTTGATGATGCCACCATCCGATGGTGATAGGATTAAATCTCTTTGGGGTATTCATGTTTTAAAAATACAGCAAAACTTCAAGACAATTACACAGCTGTTTTTTTACTGTGACGCGAATATCCAATTATTTTAAATTTTCAGTGCCACCCGACTTTTTTTGAATCCACCCGACTAATTTTACAGTTCAAGTTAGATCTTTAGTATAAAACCACAGGACTTTAACTGTGATTACAAACTAACTTAAAGAGTTAAAACGTAGAATCGGGTACAATAAAATGAGTACATTATATATAGCTGCAGGCTACAAGTGCTTTGCCTTGCTTTTAACATGTCATCATAGTGCTTAACGGGTGCTGACTAGTAGTGTTTAGATAATAAATTTATAGTCTGCAATTTGTAGACTATAAAAAGTAGCACAAGCTTTAGTTTCAACAGCTATCTTCAAAGCTAAGAAAATGTATTACAGTCTTGTAGGCCTGTGCTTGAGCTCAGAGTTTCAATACCAAAAATAAATTTCAAGCCAAAAATAAAGTTCAAGAGTACCCCGTATATAAACAGGATATAAGTGAGACGACCCAGCCTTAGTTCACTTTCATACTTCAGATGTGTGGCAACCGTGCGTCAACCGTGCGTCAAGTGCCCAATTCAACAGATTATAAAGTTGCCGAACCAAATGAGATGCCACAATAGGGACGTCAGTCACTGCTTTTAATCAAAGACTACAAACATGAGTAGATCTGCTAAAAATACACAATACGTTACACCCAAATGAAAGACAATTTGGAAATCACAAACAAAGAAGGGAGCACCAACGTTAAATATCCATATTATAATGACTAGGCAGTGTAGTGAGCATGAACGCAACATGACCTATTTCCTAATAATAGATCCACTGTATCTGAAATCTGAATACAATATGAACCAATATCTAAATATTCTCTAAAATTAGTCTATAAGCTTGCAACCAATGCTCGGATGCTTTATGGTCAAGGTACCCACTACCCGTACGTTCTATGTACTTCGCTTATCATTAAATGCCCCGGATATTTAATTAACTTACAGATCTACATTCAATTTTCTATTCTGCATACCAAGTTAGAAAGTAGTATGTTTAAACGTGAACAATCATGAGGGTTAGGTGGTTACCTTAAGTTTATCCAGGAAAATTAAATAGTACATGTACTACTAAGGACGAGACAGTTCAATAGGCGATGGTTACATAATAATAATAATATACATAATAGTTTAAGTATGACATTATGATTATCATAATTATTATACACGTTTTTCTTTAGTCGTATATTACTATTATGTAACCATCGCCTATTGAACTGTCGCCTATTGAACTTCCGAGCTCGATTTTTGAAAGGAAATACGTGTCATCATCTCAAGATTATTAAAATTATTAATAAAATTATTACATTGCAATTTATTCGCCCAATTACATCATGTAAAAGGGTTGATTTGCTTCAGTTGCAAATTTGACACCAAATCAGCAACCCCAAGTTAAGAAATCCGCTCGAACCACTGCTGCAATATTTACAATACCGAGTTACATAATACTGAATGGATGTACAAAAGTTATCGTGCTGTAAAATATAAGGGCGGAGGATGAATTTGAATTTGGACACCAACATTTGCTGGGTTGAGTGCGTGAAGATGAAGTAATACACCCTAAACCAGGGGGTAAACGAGGGATCTGAGGCATGGTCTGGGGACCTACTTAACGAATACTAGAGTTTATCTGAACCCGAGTAATTTTATACGACACAATTAATGAAAAACTGGAGAAAGGTACGGAGAAAGGTACTGTCAACTCTCAATTATGTGCCAATTAACTATCTAACATCAGTTATGTGTCTAACGAAGCAACTTGTAAGAACCTTAAGTGAAGAAAATCGAGTTTCCAACAGGTTTACTTTTATATACCTGCCAAGGAGAATTGCAAATAAATCACAAATTAAATGATGTGTCACGAAAAAACACAAACATTTCATTCTTAAACAAAACCACAATTTCCTCCATCACGAGGGCTCTCACTACTCATTTTGAGGTTGCAATTTAGTTGTCAAGTAGACGCTGCATTCGATCTCCATCTTTCTTCAGAACAACTTGAGTACTTCCCAGTGCTGTCTGCAAGCAGGAGAGTGGTAAGAAGGTGTAACTTAAGGTGTTCCTAACAAACTTGAAGGTTCAGGAATTAGTCCTAAAATCGATGATGTTCCCGCAAACTGTAGCCATATTTTATCGTGTAATGATTGAACTGAAAATCTGCACGGAGAATTTGTGTGCTACAAATTTTAAGCATGCTGTAAAGAATGTCGTCAGAAAACGTGAATGGTCGCTCTTAATGACCATTATATTTGTGTACATGACATTTATATGCATGTATTCATGTGTGAAATGAGCGGAGCTTTAATCTAAAATTTTGAATCAAGTATATAATCAAGACATGCACATCATTATTGGATTATGATTTTAAGCCAGGTATATGAAGTAGCTTGAAATGAGTACGATCGTGCAGGCCCCTCAATCTGAAATGTTTGTAATTTTGCCGAATATTTCGTGATGTCGGGATCTTATTAATTACATGTATTTCAAGATGGTGCCGCATGTCAATAGCTTGCACGCTACATACTATAAAGTCGCCGCAAAATGAAATATACTAGATCTAAATATAGAATTTAAGGTTGTTCAAATGAAGTTGGACGAGCACAACAGGCTTGTCCGCCGTGGCTAAATGGATCGGCGGCGGCGTTTTACTAAAATTACACCGGCGGCGGCGGCGTACGCCGGCGTGAGCCGTGAAATCAAGGCCAACTAAATTGAGGTCTATGAAATATGAATATGATCATGTACTTAATTTGGGTAATTTAGACTTAACTTCAACAAATGATGTTGGTATATTGCTATGGTATTACTATTATCTGCTATCAAATAAAAGTTGAGACAAATTGATACAATCATTTTATTTAAGGTAAAATACATAAACAATAAATTATTGCTGAAATCAATGGATCTCTCAATCTTTTTTGTTGGAAACAAAATCATAGTTTTTAGAACAAAACAGTGTATATTTGAAATTCTTGACATTCATCCTAGATCGCTGACTAGAAAGAATTAAACCTGCAGCCGACCAGGTTCTTTCAATTTCCGCACTACTGGCAGGTATACAATGCACTATTCTTACTATGTTTGAGAGTATTGGGAAAGTTTTTTGCCTATTGGCCCAAAATCTTAAAAGTTCGAATTGTAAAATTTCTTCTTCAGTCAAACTTATGAGTAGGTATCTGCTCAGTTCTTCTGATAATCAATATTGTTAAGTTAGCTAAAGGTGTGTATCATGTGTGTGTTGCCCCTAGCCGCTAATCGCTATCAGTAACACTGATATCTTCCAATGAAGACAGAATTATTTTGAAGTCAGAAAATGCACGCCGTACGCCGATGTACGCCGGGGTGTATCGGCGGCGTTCGGCGTGGCAAAATCACCCGGCGGCGGCGGCGTTCGGCGGCGGCGGACAAGCCTGGAGCACAACTGATCGAAATATCACGTTACTAAATTAACGGAAAGTAACAACGAACAACTGGTGTAATTCGAAATGTGCCACAGTAAATTCAAACTATATAATCTGAGTAATTTCCAATATCAGACTCAATGTCATCTCAGGAGTATACAATGTAGCGATATTGAAGCAGCAAATATGCAGTAGGCAATAAACTTAAAGTTTCGCTTTTGTCAGGGGAGGACTGATTTTCCAAGTAAAGAAAAGCCGTTAAAGTAAGGTCGGTACTCGGTTTACTACTACTCTAGAAGCAGAGTGAAATTGAATAATAGTATTATTAACTATTATTTTTAAAATAAGGAGTGATAATAACTGATTTACAGTGACTGCATTGAATATTTCTTGCAGGACCCTTTTTTCTTTAACAATAATATTCCTCCGATAACCCTCAATACAGAGTGCCACAAATATTTGAATAATTGCTCACTGGGTTTCTTGAGAAGGACCCGAGATGGATAGTTTAAAAATTTGGATTGTGGGCCACCCAAAAAAACAGTTTTAAGTCAATATTTTAACAACCAAGTATTTAGCTTTATAGCGTATCAATAGATGTAGTAATTGCGGTTATTCCGCGGTAAAATAATAGTCTCTTTGACTTTTAACAGTTTTAACTGTTTAAGAGTGGAGATACAAAAATTCAAAATTTAATCCTGAGGCCCAGAGGGTTAAATCTTAAATATTGCCCTCTAGGGTAGGGACCTGCGATACAAATTGCCTACCTAGATGATTTGACGTCCATTAAGCTCACAGTTTACTCGGGACCCTGCGTGATTATAAATATCTTGGACATCGGATAACGTACTGAAATACACTCTGTCACTACGCTATACCAGCACTCGGCAGGTGTTACTGGCTTGTCATTATAGTGCAGTTTTTATTTTTGAATATTCAAACAGTTTTGCATATCAATGTTGCAGACTATTAGGGGGACAGGGCAATAGAATAAAAGCATACTTTGTCGGGCAATCACAAAGGTCACCAAGACAAATTCATGTGCATATCATTAAGTGCATATCATTAAGTCCGAGCTAATTGAGATACATTAAGGCCTGACCCATGAATAATTAATGCACGATTTTTAAATGAAATGCAATTATTATAAGTGTGTAATGTGCCATACATAGCTAACATGACATGTTATATTTATAGATAGTTATATTGGGTAACAAATATATTAAATCGGTTTTGAGATGAATCACCCTGAACTTCGGTCTCTGAATTATATTATATTAGCTCAAATAACCATTTCAGGCTATGTTCTCATGATAATATTACGATTAATCCCCTCACTTGATATTAACTATACTTACAGTCTTATCGCTTAACTTTATACTGTTGATGCCATCAGATTCAATTCTAAACCTGAAGAGACTGTATTATTTTCAGTGATACAGATCAAAAGGTATTTATTATAGACCACCATGACCATAATATTCTATAAATTTAAATATCTAGGTTATCCCAGTATCAACAGATATTCATTATTCATTAACTGGGGTTAGCTTAAGAGCTGTCAAGCTGGTACGTCAGATTGCTTTATAATTGAAACAATGAGTTGAGACATTTGTTGAATGTTGATACCAACAAACAAATAGTAATGAAAATTGAATGATTTAAAACTGAAATTATAATGGGAAAAGACTGATATAAAAATGAACAAAGTTAAATGTAAGGAAAGGATTCAAAAAGTCAAAAAGTCAAAAAGTCAAAAAGTCAAAAAGAACACTAAACACCTAAACACAATAATTAAAGATATTTCAGATAAAATTAAAAACTTTAAATCAAACATTTCAAAAAACCGTTTTTTCTAAACTAAAACTAAAAGTCAAGAAATATTCAAAAATTCAGTAAAAGAACACTCAACACAATAATTTAATATTTCAGATAGAATTAAAAACTGTAAATCAAATATTTCCAAAAAACAATTATTGTAAATTAAAACAAGACAGCAGAAGAGCTAATTCACGCTTTTGTATAGTGTCACTATTGTTTACATCACATATTTTCATAACTTGAGCGTAAGTCTTTTGTAGAAGAGGAATGGGAACATTTTTACCGGATGTTTCCAGGTGTTTTAAGATGTCGTTTATCAAGGCCATGACTTCGCTTTTTTCTAGGCATTCTTGACCATCAGTATCATAATGGCTAAAAATCCTATCGAAATCTTTCCTGTGCAAAAGCTGGCGACCAAAGAAATTCTTCATAAAGTTATTTTCAACATTCATAAGTTGTGTCAATTCTTCGAGCTCAATTTTCCCATCATGATTTGTATCTAAGTCCTTCATCATATGTTCAATGGCTCTGTTAAGACGGTACCCAGAAATATCCTCACCTGCAACTTGGGCATAGTCTTTCACCAAAAGCCTTACTTCTTTAATTTCAATATAACCTGAACCATCCACATCATAATTCTGCCAAAACTTGATAAAACTTGATGATTGCACTTTGTGACCTATTTGAACAAGAAAACATTGCTCTGTTGGGAGTGACTCTATAAGCACTTCCTTATTGATTTCCTTTGGAATCGATCCTCCATAAGTTTCCGCAACTTTTCCTGTCACCTCTGAAATAAACTGCTTAATGTCACATTGTTTAAGTTTCCAAACATATTCCTTTTGAACTAAATCGGTTAAAAACTCATTCAACTGAGCAGAAGCCAAACCATTGCGATCATGTATGTCATTTATTTCTAATGCATTAGCCAGTGTGGCTGGTGAAATGCTCAGTGATCGACTGTGCAGCTCCTCTCCTTCATCCGAATCATCAGACTCGTCTGATTGTGGTTCAGTTATGGGGTCGTCATCATCAGGAGTCGATCTTCGGTCATAGACAGGTTCTTGATCAGCACCACTAAGTCGGTGATTAAGGTAGGCAAACATTTGATGCTAATATACTGAGTAATATTGGTAAGTTACATTGAGAAATATTGTAATATTTTTTTTCACATTAGTATTGATGATTGAAGGGTGTTCAGTTATTTCTGAAATTTTTGCTTGTAGAGATTACAACAGGCAAATTTAAATTGTTGATAAAAGTAGTAGTAAATCTTTCAAAGTACGAAATATCTCTTTAAAAGAGCATCCTAGGCACCTTATAGATATCAAAACGCATAAAAAAGAAAACAAAAACATCAACCATCTTCTAACTTCTTCCATTCCTCCCTATCTAAAGCCAAAAATCTAAGGTCTTCGAAATCAGTCAAATTCTTAAGTCTAATATCAAGATTTCTACTAGTCAAGTCTTTTCTAATAACATCTAATAAGTTTAAACATGGTCTACCCCGTCTCCCTTCCATAAAAATATCAGAATTTATAGCAAATAACATAGAGGTGTATGCTGGTGAGTCTTCCTGTCCTCTTAAGATATGTCCTAACATTCTCCATCGAAACTTAGAGACTCTCACAGACAAGGGAGTGACATAACAACGAGCATAGAGTGCCTCATTAGAAATAACCCCAGTAGGCCATCTGATGTTGAGGATTCTTCGGAGGTGTTTGCGATGAGCAATATCAAGTTCATTCAACGAAGCTAGTGGTGCAGCCCAGTTGATGTTGATAAAAAACATTTGATTATTATTTTAAAATCAAATGTAAGTATAACAAGAATACCCCATCATCATTTGATGAGTCCCAGGAGAAAAAGAATTTACAGAGGGGCGAAAAAAGGGGAGGGGGTACCAACAGGGGGGGGGGGGATTTTCCAGCGGGGGAGGGGGGCCAACAGGCAATTTTGCACCACTGAGAAAGACCAACATTCGAAGGTACTGTTAACATCACTCCTGTTAGTGGCACTTGGAAGATGAACGGGGACATTGATTTGATTTGATTTATTTGACTTAATTGATCCGATTAGATAAGACATTTTTCGATGGAAAACCTTTCTAGCCAAAGTTTAACATCATGGATGAGTACTTGGAGAGAGTGTTGAATGTGGGGAAGGCCACCTTCACCCCGGCTGATTTCTCATATCTACAGGCATGTTCAAAGAGTGTAAAATAAGCGGTTTGTCGACAGATTAGCGGACCTCATAGCCAGGAAAGCAAAAAGAGATATTGCAACGTGGTAAGGCATACAGTGAGGACAAAACTAAGATTCGCACTGTTAAGAACAACGCCTATTGCTCTAAGAGGTCACAGAGGTACCCAAGAAACCTTACTGGAAGGGAGCTAACTTTGAAAGTAAAAGAAATAAATACTTTCGGATTTCAGCAAAATGATCGCTTTGTAAAAATAATGTTTTTACAAAAATTAGGGACATTTTAGATTTTGAGTTATCGCGAAAAGTATAATTTTGGGCCAAATAAACAATAAAAGGTCGCAGGTTTATAATTTTGAAAATTAACGTGGTTGTCATGACTCCATGGATGAATTCAAATTGTAATACGTGTGCTTTATGTCACGCGCAATGACAAACAGCAAACAGGCTATTAAAAATTATCACCTCTAGTAACTAAACGCCGCGAGCCAGTAAAGTTGTTTGCGTATGAGACCCCTCTATCAAAAGACGTTTACACATTCATCTCCGCCCCTATGTGATGGAGTAGAAGTGTAAATATAAAAAGAAAATTTAAAGAAAAAGAAGAAAAGATATATACATATATTTGTGACTCATACATCTAACCCCTAGTATTGTTTCACGAGTGATTGTTTATGTTAAATTTTAGCTTTGTAATTTTGATTTTAGTTCCTATACCTTGCAGTTGTCACTGATGATATTATGGTTTTGTATCATGATTGAAACATTTGTCTGACTCAACCGGTCGTTTCATTTTGTACATATATTTGCGTATATATATTTGATTTGTATTTATATATTTAATTGACGATGTCAATTCATCGCAGCTCGGCGAGGCACAGTAGCGCATTTCGCCGATCGCTGTGAGAAGCCTCATTGAGTGCGCGGCGCGGCACAGTAACGCATCGCGCTACAAGTATATATTTGATTTGTATGTATATATTTGATTGTTGATATTTCATATAATATTGGTAACAGTGGATAATTTCCGTCTGCTTAAGAATTTTTATTTAACTTTTGAATTACGCTGATAAAAATGTATGATTGAGACGAATGTTTGAGTAGTTTACTACATTATAATTTGCTAAATGTGAAACAAGCGTGTCACGCAGAACGCGTATACACATGGCTATGTGAATATTATAATATAGTATAAAGAAGCTTATTTCACATTTCGTTAGCATATCCAATATTTATGAGTTTATTATTGGATGTTTAAGTTTAACTATGTTTATTATGATATTACTATTCATTGTAATATGGCAATAAAATTTAAATTTTGTTTTACCATTCACTTAAATTTTGTTTTACCTAATTTTGACGGATGTTACTCGTCTAAATTTCTTCAAAGTAGCGCGCGCGCCGCTTTCTTTTCGAAATGTTTCTGGACCGCACGGCAAGTGCTACGAAGTAGCGCGCGCCGCGCCAGACCATTAACAATGGTCAAAGCCAATGCCCAATCGCATCATTTGATTTAATCGAATGCATGTGCATGTATGTAATATATTATTCTTACCTGGGGACCCCAGGCTATTATGTTCATAAACATATAGCCTGGCGTGATTGAACCCTATAAAACACGCTAATTTTTGTAGTGCATACGTCACTTCTTTCCAATTGGTATGTGGTAGTTGGCGTGCACGTGATCTTCTGCGCGGCTGTAATTAGTTCTGAACGATCACGTGAATGCTAGTCACGTGCGCTCTAATTACATGACATCCAATGAGCATTCGCATTTTTAAAGGACGATGGATGTCGTAATTCGCTCAGCCCAAATAGAGATTTTAAAAATAAATCCTTATTCAGTTATCAATTAAAGCCTGTGCTAAAATTAAAAATTCTAACCCTAACTGCTAACGAAAAATTAAACCAATTTCCGTTTATGGTTACGTTTTAATTGCTTTATCCAGAACCTTTTCTTTTGCAGTGGCGCGCGCCCAACTCCTTTACTTGTGAAACAAGCGCGCTCGCGCTTGTTTCACAAGTAAAGGAGGTGGTAAAAACAGTTTTTTGAATTAATATCTTGCCAGGGGAATGTTTAACTTCACGTCGTGTGGGATGATTTAAGATCAACGTTAAAATACATTTATTTAAGTTACTTTGCTTGTTCGTTTATTGCTCGATCCTTTGATTAACGATGTCAATCCTTCGCAGCTCGGTGAGGCACAGTGGTGCATTTTGCCGATCTACCGAAGAGAAGAATTATTTGATGCGCGGCGCGACCCAGTAGTTCATCGCGCTACAACTCGATCCTGTGATCTCACGTAATGCTAAAATCTAAGCTACGTTCTCGTTTCGCCACTCAAGGTAGGGCCAGCTTATTTCCAAAATTATGCCATAAGTGAATTTCAGGTGGTATGGTTCAGTCAATTTTTCAGAAGGAAAATATTTTGCACTTTTAAAGGTTTACCCCTGGACCAGACGGTTTGATTTTATATAAATTCATTGCATTGCTGATATTATGTGCTTATTTTTTGGAATAAAGTTTTGTTTTAAAATTTTGTTTTATAATTCATACCCCTATTCAATAAAAAAAGATTGTACAGTGATGAACAAAATTCGATTACTAACGACCACTTGTACTGTGTATAACTTGCTGTGAAAAGGCCCTTTGGGTATGAAAATAATCTAAATCGGTGCATTTTTGGACGCTGATTCCGAATCACCCCCATGACGTAGGGTAAAAATGCTTCCCTGGAGAGTTATGGGCAAAAAAACCGTTTTGGTCACGTGACATGGTAATAAAACATGAATTCGATTGTTTAGGGCTCGGGTTAGGGTTAGGGTTGTGGTTAGGGTTATGGATAGCTTCGGGGTTATGGTTAGGGTTGGGATTAGGGTTTATGTAAAACCGTTTTGTACGGCTGCAAAACCATAAAAACCAAAGTCACGTGAAATTTTTGGGCGAGCGAATTAGTAAAAGCCGTATCAGCTACATGGGTTGAGGGTCCCCCCATTTTTTCTTTTCAAGAAATATTTATGCCCAAGTCAAATTAAATCTAACTTAGGTCAGGTTGCCTGTTGGCACAACCCGCTGAAATAGTGCCCCCTTTTGGCGCCCTCTCCTCCTTTTGGCGCCCCTCCCTAAAATTGGACAAATTAGATGATTGTAGAGGATATGCCGGAAAATCTCTCAAATAGTGTGTTTCTAGAGCAAAACATAGTTAAGTTTTTCCAAATTGTCCCACATTGTAACTACAATTTGGTGCCCACCTACGATGGTGCCTCCCGGCCCTGCACAGCGGGTCAGTGGGGCCCTTCATTATGCCTCTGATAAGTTATCTTGTTGTGCCCTGTTGTATTGACACTTTCCAAATAGCATGTGGGAGTTGTGCAATGTCTTAAGTAGACGAGGAATGGAATATATTGTACAAATTTATTATAATAAATTTCATGAACATTGAACACAGCGTTTGTGTTTTTCTGCTAGTAAAAATAATGAGTATTTTTAAAGGAAAAATTTTGTCCATCACTATTAGTATCAGTTCGATATATTACATTTATCTCTGTGAAACATTTAACATTTGAATGAAAAATAAAATAAAAGTTATAATAAGGGGTTTGTGAGCTCTGATACCCTTGCATGCATTAGTATACTTTAGTCAATCAGAAGAAAAATCTTCATTGTTCAAGAAACTAAAAATTGCATATTTATTATCTTTAAAGATGACCTTAATCTGTATCTCATCCATTATCTCAGAATGAGCCATGTCATGGCTTTGGGGATCCAAGCGCAAGAAAGTCGACATCAAAAAGCAGCTAGAGGTTGCTAATCCCCTTCCTGCTCAACCATCATTGCTTGATAATGTAAGTGGTTGAGAACTTATCAGTCTTAAAAGTTAAAATTCGTCAACTTATATTTGTTTTTTGTTTGACTGAATACTATTTTTCAAACATTCGGTGTAATTATTTATTAGAATGTAAAATCCTTTTTAGAGTTAGACTCACTGATTTTATTACAGTATGATGACTACCATGAAGAAATCGAGCTCATGGATGATTCCCGCCTATTTGGACCAGAGGACCCTAAAAAGGTACTTAATCTTATAATCTTAAATATTGTATCTAGAAGGGTTTGAAGGTGGTTCATATCAGCACTGTAGACCATGTTGTGCTGTAAGTTTTCATGGCGTAGAGAACCTTTGCCGATTCAATAACAGAGAGTATCAAATCTAGGATGTTAAGTTGTCGGTTAGTTAGACCATCTCTTTCTTTTCTCAAGAAGTAGAATAATAATGTGATTGAGTTTGTTATCACCCAATTCACTCCAATCACAGAACTTACTGTTATTATCAAAGGTGATGCCATGCTTTGAATTCCTTAACGTTTTGAGGATTACGTTTTGTAGTTTTTTAAGAGATAAAATTATGCCTGTACATGCTAGAGATAATAGGTTAATGAGTATGTTATGGGTTCAACTTAAAACCGTTACAATTATGAACACAGTCAATGTGGCCCATTCATTAAACTAGTGTTATTGCACTATTATACACTATTAACTATTATACTTGCTTATTATATAGTGTTATGATAAATAAGTTTCCCTCACGATGGTGTAGTGCTCATCGGCACTGGTTAAGGCAGCTGTATAATAGAACTAGTGTCCGGTTTTAAACGCTTCGTTATATCCGACAAAAGGGCTTCGTATTATCCTATTATAATCAGTAATGTGGACTATATTATATCAATATTATAAAACATTTGTTTTAAAATTATAAAACATTTGTTTTAAAAGTTCTATTCACGGATTAATCAAGTTTGTATTTAGCACACTTTATAAGTCTAAAGTTAAGCATGTCACCTGATAAGTGTGAATATGATGTGTCGCCATCTTTGTGAGGATTTGTGTGATATTATAAAGTAACGGTTTGGTAACACTTCAGCACAATTTGTGCTATGTTCAAATTGGTGAACTTAAATAAATAAAACATTACTTGACCACACGCTGGAAGCCTATACTACCAAAGTGCCAAGTTATGCACAGCACCACGCTGCTCCACACGCAATATTTATTTATAAGCCAGCCTTTTCCGGTTCATATATTGAAACACGCTGCAATTCCTCTGTGTAACTAATTAGTTTAATTGGTAGTTTAATTGTTGTTTGTTATTAAAGTAGCGCGATTAAGTGCGATTCAGCATGTAACTATTCCATATCCAGTTAGAGAGATTACTTCCGAGCATGGTGCATTATGATCGTTACCGTGGTAACAGCATTTTGTGCATTAGCCCGGGATAAATAGATAAGTACCTGAAATTATAGTTCGCTTGGAGACGATATTAAACGTGCCCTTGAAATCGATTATACAGTTAGAAGTCTGTGCTGCTTACAAAATGTAAGAAATGTTAGAATGTGGAGAACGGGTTTATGGATAAAAACACAGCTCTTGTAGTGGGTACAGGGAGAGAGGGGGGATGGGGGCCGAGAGGGGGGGGGGGGGGGCGCGAGAGGGGGGGCCGGGGGTGGGGGGCGAGAGGGGGGGGGGGCTAGAGGGGGGCCGGGGGTGGGGGGGCGAGAGAGGGGGGGGGGGGGGGGCTAGAGGGGGGCCGGGGGTGGGGGGCGAGAGGGGGGGGGGGCGCGAGAGGGGGGGCCGGGGGTGGGGGGCGAGAGGGGGGGGGGGCTAGAGGGGGGCCGGGGGTGGGGGGCGAGAGAGGGGGGGGGCGCTAGAGGGGGGGGGGGGGCGGGGGTGGGGGGCGAGAGGGGGGGGGGGCGCTAGAGGGGGGGGGGGGGGCGGGCGCTAGAGGGGGGGGGGGGCGCTAGAGGGGGGGGGGGGGCGCTAGAGGGGGGGGGGGGCACTAGAGGGGGGGGGGGGCGCTAGAGGGGGGGGGGGGCGCTAGAGGGGGGGTCTCATATCCAGCAATCTTACAGCTACTCGCCAGGTGGCTCAGCTTATAGTGAGAAGTTTAGTTTGTTTCTTTTCTTTATTAATTCCAACTAAATCAAAGTAACTCTTTAATTTTCAGCTGTCAGATAATTTACCAGCTAGGCTGTACGGTTGCAAGTGGAAGTTGATATACAGTACCTTTAAACATGGGATTAGCAGCAGCACGCTACTTCGAGCCAGCAGGGTTAGTTACTGAGTTTGTTAATAATTAATTAAGAGTTAATTAATGAATTAGATTTAATTAGTTGATTAGGTTATATTGTTAATTTATTTCGCTGATTATCTCTGTTTAGATCATTAGTAAATGTTAATCACATGTGATTTTTTAATAAGTAAAATTTACATGATCCTGATTCTAATCTCTAAACTATTATAATTGCAAAATTGGGTCATGGTGCACAAATTACTTCAACTGTCGCCATAAGAACAGAATTATTTAGCTGCACTCTATTACAAGATTCGCATACATAATAAGTTTATATACAAATTTATGTAAGCACAATTAGTGTGGAATATATCCCATCATAAATTTCGCCCTGAGCACCAGCAAAAGGAACAGATTATGAAATTGTGTACACAAGCAAAACACTACTCTATTGAATTAACAAGATGTTTCCTATGTCCACAATTCCGTTTTTTTCTAAAATCGGAATACAGAAATTGTACAGTACATGTACGTGACAATCTGTTAATTTTTGTATGAAAAGCATTCCTGTAATTTGACCAGGGTTTAAAAAGGGAGAAAATGAGATTTCAGAAACATAGTTTTAATTTTAAGGGTGTTTTGATAAAAGTTAAATCACCAGCAGTTACAAAGATAAGAGATAAGATTATACTGTTGATAAGAAGGGGGTATTTCTTTTTTAGTATTTACTACTAAATAAGGTATCATATAATTGTCAGACGATTTCTCTAATCCGACTAGAACTTTCTTTTAATCGCACATATACGTGATGTGCTCGTTGTTTGTTTGATTATAATAGAACCCCATCATTGTCCAATCAACACTGTTCTTTTCCACTTTTAAAGTACTTGATGTGGTCTACTTGCACTAGTTACCATGACAAATACACATCCGACGCGATGTCAGCATCCATTAGATCACCACCGCATTATCTAGTTTATTTAATTAATTAGTTTATTTAATGAGAAGATAAGTTATCTTTGTGCTAGAACTGCCGAAAATGATATGTCGTACGGATAAGAAAAATAAACCCAATAATAAAAAACTTGTCGTGTCATCTTAATGATAAAACGGTCTTTTCCTTACAATTTGGTTCAGGAAGGAGATAAGTGAAAGTACCTTAAATTGAATACGTGATTAAGAATTGCAAATACAATGTCTCAAATGTCCTCAATATAATCTCTAAACAATTCAGAAGTTCAGATTTCCTAGTTCTCCAACTATATAAAAATCCTACTGTACCGAAACCAAAAAAGGTAACCTGCCATCCAACAGGCCCAGTCTTAAGTATCCTCAGATAGTATAAACAATCTCCCACTCGCTCTAGCAATCTCTAAACAATTCCCCAACTATCCTACTTGTAACCAAAACAGAGGTGTTAAAATGAACCCTCTGATAATCAAAACAGCGATGTTAAAATGAACTCTCTGCTCTACCCTACTGTACTAAATGTCGTACACTAATATATGGCCTAAAATACTACGCTAAAATACTGCTAAAACGAGTACACAACATTAACATTTGGTTCCGTTTCAGGAGTGTGGTGGTTCTAGTATCCTGGGGTAATCTGGGGTTATCATGTTAACATTTGGTTCCGTTTCAGGAGTGTGGTGGTTCTAGTATCCTGGGGTAATCTGGGGTAATCTGGGGTTATCATGTTAACATTTGGTTCCGTTTCAGGAGTGTGGTGGTTCTAGTATCCTGATTATAAAGGACTACAATGGATACGTAAGTTACCTAAGTTGCTATCTTTACTATTGCACTATTCTCGTTAAATAAAATATCAGTATTCTGTACTCTAAGAGTACCCCTGTATTTTACAAGTAAATTAAATAGTACTTCTTTGAACACAATAATTGAAACTTGATCATGAAACTTAGATACGGTATTTTGAATTAACGGGTCGATGCAATAAGGAAGTGAATGTTAGTCAGAAGATATCATTCGTATTGTTAGTTAAAGTTATTACACTATCTACACTATTCTTTGATCACTTATCTCACACTAGACTCCTAAATAGTAGTAGAGCAGTGACCCTGACCCTGACCCTGACCCTGACCCTGACCCTGACCCTGACCCTGACCCTGACCCTGACCCTGACCCTGACCCTGACCCTGACCCTGACCCTGACCCTGACCCTGACCCTGACCCTGACCCTGACCCTGACCCTGACCCTGACCCTGACCCTGACCCTGACCCTGACCCTGACCCTGACCCTGACCCTGACCCTGACCCTGACCCTGACCCTGATCCCTGACCCTGACCCTGACCCTCACCCTGACCCTGACCCTGACCCTGATCCCTCACCCTCACCATCACCCTGACCCTGACCCTGATCCTGACCCTGACCCTGACCTTGACCCTGACCCTGACCCTGACCCTGACCATGATCCTGACCATGATCCTGACCATGATCCTGACCTATACTACAGTATTGAAGTCTAAGATAGACACTAGTTAGACTGACCAACAAGTGTAAACTAGCTGTAGTTTCTATGTACGCCATATCTCAAGGGATTTGTTCTTCATACTATAAGTGTATAATATCGCTATGAAGAAGAAATATCCTTCTCGAAACTTTGTATTGCATAACTAAAAGCTGCAATATCTGAGCACCTACTGAGTCACTGACTGAGCAACTATAATATATGTGTGTTTGTAAAGGGGTATGTTACTAGTAGAGGGGTATATAATTGTGGTACTATTACAAATTACAATAGTAGAAATATAAATATAGTAACTGAGAAACTCAAAATTTGGCCTAATTGGCAGTCGGCACGGCAAATGCAGTACATACAACTATGCAGTTCTCATTGTAAAGTTTTAAGCTTTAAATGGTGAATTTACGTAAATATTGCATACCAATTATAAACGAAAATTTGACAACATTTTCTGCATAATATTTAAATTATAAAATATACTAAAGAATGTCCCGTGTTCAGAAGATATTATGACTTGCAGCTTCTTAGGATACCCCTTCAGTACATCTACATTCTACATTGTAGTGTACTGTAAACATAGTAATATGTAATACTACTGTACACATTTAATAAAACTAACCTAACCTGTTCAGGTATAATATTTCGTAAATTGTATTTCGATACAAGCATTATTGCAAGATCGGGCATTAATTTAGAATGTTCCACAATTTGACATAAAACACGTATGCATAATACCCTCTTTAACTCAACTTAAGAATTAGTATGTGGAATCAATAATCAAATATCAAATATCAAATATGTAAGGTGTCATAATAGTGTCAACCAGTGATATGTATCTACTATCTAGTGTAGACTATAACTAGCTACACTAGTCACTGGTATAGTCAGTAGTAGTCAGTAGTCAGTAGTCAGTAGTCAGTAGTCAGTAGTCAGTAGTCACTATACTACCTTATACAGTTTACACGTATTTGTATTGTGTAAGTATTTGTATTGTTATATCTGTATTTGTATTGTGTAAGTATTTGTATTGTTATCTGTATTTGTATTGTGTTGGCGCCAAATTTATATTGCAATTTAGTACAGAACAGCTTGCTAAGGTAGCGTACACATGTTTTAACTCATCGCGTGTGGTATATCTGTCACGTGTTAGTGTGTTTCACTACGTGAGTGTGTGATAAAATACTACAACCTGTCACTCAACTACCCACTCAAAGCTCTGTAGTTGTACAGTAATGGTCAAAATACAGCAGCAGCGCACACAAAACCTGCTGACAAGTAACGCTGTCCAAGTTATCACTTGATATCAAGTTATCATGTAGTCACGTGATATCAAGTTATCATGTAGTCACGTGATATCAAGTTATCATGTAGTCACGTGATATCAAGTTATCATGTAGTCACGTGATATCAAGTTATCATGTAGTCACGTGATATCAAGTTATCATGTAGTCACGTGATATCAAGTTATCATGTAGTCACGTGATATCAAGTTATCATGTAGTCACGTGATATCAAGTTATCATGTAGTCACGTGATATCAAGTTATCATGTAGTCACGTGATATCAAGTTATCATGTAGTCACGTGATATCAAGTTATCATGTAGTCACGTGATATCAAGTTATCATGTAGTCACGTGATATCAAGTTATCATGTAGTCACGTGATATCAAGTTATCATGTAGTCACGTGATATCAAGTTATCATGTAGTCACGTGATATCAAGTTATCATGTAGTCACGTGATATCAAGTTATCATGTAGTCACGTGACATCAAGTTATCATGTAGTCACGTGATATCAAGTTATCATGTAGTCACGTGATATCAAGTTATCATGTAGTCACGTGATATCAAGTTATCATGTAGTCACGTGATATCAAGTTATCATGTAGTCACGTGATATCAAGTTATCATGTAGTCACGTGATATCATGTAGTCACGTGATATCATGTAGTCACGTGATATCATGTAGTATTTTATATCACGTGAATAAACCATCTTCAATACCTGAATCTGTACACAGCTTGTCTTATTGTTCTAAAACTACGAATATTTAATCAAGTATTGATATTTTATTACAGTAAGTGACAGTGTAATAATACTTAATATTTTATTAGATGTGTAAATTTAGTACTATGTTTACAGTACACTACACTACAATGTAGAAGGTACTTAAGGGGTATCCTAAGAAGACTCTTGATCGTAATACAGCTTGTACAATTAGGTCACGTGACTACTGAGTCACGTGATATCATGTAGAACTAGTATTAGGTCACGTGACTACTGAGTCACGTGATATCATGTAGAACTAGTATTAGGTCACGTGACTACTGAGTCACGTGATATCATGTAGAACTAGTATTAGGTCACGTGACTACTGAGTCACGTGATATCATGTAGAACTAGTATTAGGTCACGTGACTACTGAGTCACGTGATATCATGTAGAACTAGTATTAGGTCACGTGACTACTGAGTCACGTGATATCATGTAGAACTAGTATTAGGTCACGTGACTACTGAGTCACCTGATATCATGTAGAACTAGTATTAGGTCACGTGACTACTGAGTCACGTGATATCATGTAGAACTAGTATTAGGTCACGTGACTACTGATATCATGTAGAACTAGTATTAGGTCACGTGACTACTGAGTCACGTGATATCAGGTTGTGTGGTGTTTTGTAGTGTTATGTAGTGTGTACCTTCACAGTAATACAGTAGTCAACAAGTGAGCTGGTGAGAGAGTGTACTTTACTACTTTAACTCTCTCAATTTATGTATCCTTAATGTTTCCCCGGTCAAATCAGCTGAATGATCGGAAATCTGTGATTGAGGATGAGATGAGGAGGGGCCTGCTAGAAAATGAATAATCTTCTAAGCAAGGATACCCCTTCAGACTTCAGTACATCTATATGTGTACTCTACCATGATATTATTAGGTATCGTTTGAAACCTCAAAATTTACAAGTTGATGATTGGGTCATGTATTCCCAATCCCCATTATTATTGTCATATTATTCCATCTCATGTAATTATGTACGGTCGATAGTTGTGTTGTGTACTGTACATAATGTTGTGTACCTCTAATAGTAGTATAGTAGTATAGTAGTATTTGTGGGAGAGAGAGCGTGTACTGTGGTGGGAGAGAGTGTGCTTTGAGAAGCACTGTTTGCGAGAAGATATTGAGAAGAATGTTACTATTGGTGGGGAGGTACTGTGCTATTTGCATTGTCTTTGTTTAGATGAGAACAGTCAAATAGTACAGGTAATACAATAGGAACTGTATCTTTGTACTGCTACATGCAACTACACAGTGTACACTACACAGTGCACACTACACAGTGTACACTACACAGTGCACACTACACAGTGCACACTACACAGTGTACACTACACAGTGTACACTACACAGTGCACACTACACAGTGCACACTACACAGTGCACACTACACAGTGCACACTACACAGTGCACACTACACAGTGCACACTACACAGTGCACACTACACAGTGCACACTACACAGTGCACACTACACAGTGCACACTACACACTACACAGTGCACACTACACACTACACAGTGCACACTACACAGTGCACACTACACAGTGCACACTACACAGTGCACACTACACAGTGCACACTACACAGTACACACTACACAGTGCACACTACACAGTGCACACTATACAGTGCACACTACACAGTGCACGCTACACACTACACAGTGCACACTACACAGTGCACACTACACAGTGCACACTACACAGTGCACACTACACAGTGCACACTACACAGCACAGTGGGGCTCGCGTAAAGGGCATGATGACATTTGGTTTTTTTGCCCTTTTATGCCTCTGGCCACATCTTGGTGGTGTCAATTTGGATTAAATCGTCAATTATGACTTATTTCAGTGAAATTGGACAACTTTCACTACTTTTTTGGGCAAAAAATCAATTTTTTCGAAAATTTGGCACTTTCTGTCACACAAAAAGCATCTTTTTTGACTAGCAGTTTTAAGATTTCATCGAATTTTAAGCGGTTTCTGTCCCATTTTTCTGCTTTTTCGTATGGAAATGGTCATCAATCATGCTGATGTGATTGTTTAAGGGTATTTCAGAAAGGAGAACCATAAAAACTATGCAATATGACAAAAACATAAGAAAAATCCTATGAAATCAGAGTTGCCCCTGGATTTTCCGAGCTCAAATTGCCAGATTTTGGCTATTTTTGGCTCATATGCACTATTTTTCCATCCAAATATTGCTTATTCCAATTGAACTTTGCTGGTATTAGCATAAAATATCGAAGTGTGCACCAAAAAGCTATGAAATAAATGAAAAAATCAGTTTTTAATCTATCAGTTTTCATTTTTCGCGCTATTTTGACGCGATTTTTCACCTCAGGCTCGTACCAAAAATGGGTCATAATTTTTTTTCCGAAGCGTTCCGAAGCCAAATCTTCTGGGTTCTGCTAGAAAAATCATGGGAAAACATAGAAAACATAATGAAACCCGGGCCATATTTTTTTTTTTTTTTTTTAATGTTGGGGCACCCACTTTACCTCCCTATTGGGAGGCTACGTCCGTCATTAGTGACTAACGTCTATTGGGGTTCCTCTGGTTGTAGGTGTCAGTAGGTTTGGGTCACTTGGCATGGGCTAGTGATCCCGCCCCTCCAGAGGATAAAGCCTGGTGAGCGACGTTTCCCGTTAGGGAAACTGTCATAATGCTCGTTCACGGGAGAACACCACCCATGCCTAGATGTTCTCCCGGGTACTCGATAGAACAGGCTGCCCCCTGTCATTCTTGTGGGCTGACAGGAACCTACCAGGCATGCCTGAGCCTCTGATGGAATTCACCCGTCTCTTTTGTTCATGTTGTTTTTGTGTTATTTATTTGTCTCTGCGCGGCTCAATTTCCGCGCTATACTAAAGTGCTGACTCACGAATTTACATTTCATATTTGTGTTTTGAGTAGACCCTTTTGTTGTCGCAATTTGGCAATTTCTTTGTTCACGTAATTATTGCTAATTTTACGTTTGCTGGAAATAATCTAAGTGCTATATCTCCAATAGCTGGCAGTTTGTCTGATTGTTAGATCCCCTCTAACCGGTAGCGGCCCTAAGGCTGGCAGTTTGTCTGATTGTTAGATCCCCTCTAACTGGTAGCGGCCCTAAGGCGGCATGTGAGTGAATGAGTGAGTAATAAAGTGAGGTGTAGGAGAAGTGGGGAAGAAAACATGAATATGATAATATGGTACACTGTTGCCAGCTGACTCACCAGCTACAATGCAAGTCCAAGAAGAAAGAAGGAGAGACACTGTCCGTTATCTGGGTGAGCCACCACCGACAGTGCTCCCACTTATGTGGGGCTGAGGGTGTTGGCTCCAAGAACCAGCCGTGAGGGAACAGCGCCTGACCCCCTCTATGGTTAACTTGAGAATAACAGGACTATGCCTTTCTCCAGGCCAATCCGTTCAGTAACCAGCTGACCCAGCACCACCTCTGATGGAAGATGTGGTTCGGATTGGACTTCGCTAGGATTTGTCAGTTTTTCTGTAGACACTAATGCTCCCTCGAGGAAAGACATGAGCCCCGGCGAAACTGACCAAAAAACGTGGCAGGGATTCTCACCCCGGGCCATAGCCCATATGGGGCCATTTATAACTTTACCACCCATTTGTGGTCAGCGAATGAAATTTTAAGGCCTATTTTTGAAATATATTCTAATTTTAGCTACCAAAAATCCAAAATTGACCGAAATCATGGTTTTTTCTTCTTAAACAGTACTAAGAATGCTTATATCCATGTTCAATCAATCAAAAGTTGAAAAACATTGAAAACAAAAGGAACCTCAGCCTGACTCAAAAATGGCAGTGAAATTGAGTTTCTGGGCATGTGCAGGCAGGTTATTTTCAGGCGCGCTTTTCAAATGGTTGTAAATTTTGACCCAACCGAGATATTGAGCTAATTTAAAAAGCATTGAATCCGGTTATTTATTCTCTATCAGAATTTACAACAATTAAAAGCTTTAGTGATTCGTATAAGAAACAGCTACTCTCATCTATAACAACAGACCCTAATTATACCGTCGACAATTCATATGACAAATTTTACACTGCAATCATAGTCGACGATAACTAAGTATCTTCTAATTCTTTTAAATCTGAGGCATATATAATTGATGTATCGAAAGAATTTTCCTTTTTTTACCACCTTACCATTTTGATTGATTTTGCACATGACTGACATGTTTTAACTGGAGAAAGGGTTCGCACAGTGGTAGTTTTATAAACCACTTTTAATTTATTGACCTATTATACCTAGTGGTAGTTTTATAGACCACATTTAATTTATTTACTTATTATACTTAGTATTTATTTTTGGTGACTGTATCACCCAGTTTTAACATTTGATAATTGTACATTTTATTGACGACACATTGACTGAATGTTATTTTATATTCTGATTTATATTCTAGATATTTTATTTATTTTTCAACAGACGACAACTTCCTGTTTTTTCTTCTATATAAGTTACTCATATCTCTTTTACAGACTTTTTTACAAGGACATTGACAGATGATACTCACATTAGGCATTCATTATTGCATCTAAATTATTTCACTTGCATTAGGTTTAGAAATTTATTCTCTGGTTAACAGATTTCAAATGTTTAATTAATTTGTAGTATGACAGTAAGGTATATAAGAAGTTATTTAATTTTGCCTGGGCTATTATATTGACTATTGAGGTTTAATGATGATATGGAATTTGAATTCTATATAAATTTACACTATGTGGTTGGGGCATTTTGCATAGTAAATATGGTTACTACTCCTATATATCATATTATTTGATTGGTATTCGATTTCTGATTATTTCTCTAGGAATATGATTATTATATCTCAATTTGGCTTTAGGTAGGGTGCCCCGCTAAAAGAACTGGATTCTTCCAGGAAGCATCCCGTGCACAGACCTTGGTCTACATATATATTAAATTATTAACCATTCATTCTGTATGTGCACGAAAATTTATTTCAATCAATCAAAACATTAGGAAAACTCGTTTTTAGGCTAAATGTCAACATGGAGCCCCACTGTGCACAGTGCACACTACACAGTGCACACTACACAGTGCACACTACACAGTGCACACTACACAGTGCACACTACACAGTGCACACTACACAGTGCACACTACACAGTGCACACTACACAGTGCACACTACACAGTGCACACTACACAGTGCACACTACACAGTGCACACTACACAGTGCACACTACACAGTGCACACTACACAGTGCACACTACACAGTGCACACTACACAGTGCACACTACACAGTGCACACTACACAGTGCACACTACACAGTGCACACTACACAGTGCACACTACACAGTGCACACTACACAGTGCACACTACACAGTGCACAGTGCACACTACACAGTGCACACTACACAGTGCACACTACACAGTGCACGCTACACACTACACAGTGCACACTACACAGTGCACACTACACAGTGCACACTACACAGTGCACACTACACAGTGCACACTACACAGTGCACACTACACAGTGCACACTACACAGTGCACGCTACACAGTGCACGCTACACACTACACAGTGCACACTACACAGTGCACACTACACAGTGCACACTACACAGTGCACACTACACAGTGCACACTACACAGTGCACACTACACAGTGCACACTACACAGTGCACACTACACAGTGCACACTACACAGTGCACACTACACAGTGCACACTACACAGTGCACGCTACACACTACATAGAGCACTTTTAATTATGTTAATATTTCTAGTCTCCACCAGAATATACATATAATAATAATATATCTTCCATAATAGTTAGACCTAGCCAGGCCTCTTGGGAAACCGGCAGAATCGCCTGGTAAATAGAGAAGGACATTACATTAAGGACATGAACCCAATACATGGTGGGGGGGGGGGGTTCCAACCTCAATTTGCGCCTCATTCAGTTTGAACCTCCCACCCCAATTGTGGATATAAGGAAACATAGTTCCAACAACCAAGGGGCCGGGGTAATGTTGAGAATCTAGTAATGTCTTTACTTGCTCTACTTTGCTGGGTATGCTCAACACGTGACCTTATAATTAGTGGCAGTAAATGTGATAAATAATCTTCATAAATATTCCTCAACAAACTCTTTACTCTTCAAAATGTAAGTCTAGTTATGTGTGGGTAGTTAATGTGGTAAATTTAGGACGACACACTGAATCTAATGGTTAATGTATGGGGTCGGCATAGTTTTATTATAACACTAACCCTCCAAATCCCAATTTATTAAACATGTCAGTTTTTATCTTAGATGTTGTAATAAACGGAAATAATTTTACCACTAAGAACAAGGCGTCCAGTATCTCTAGACACCAATTAGCTTATTTCCGGGGTTAGTTAGCACACGCATTTAATTAATTAGTTAAGCATTTGATTAATTAGTTAGGTATTTAATTAATTAGCGCGGGTAATAAGGGCTACTAGTGAGCCCATTAGTATAGACTTGCCGTCAAAAGCTATTATTATTCAATAAACCAGCGGCGGGTCAGTTGTTCAATACGAAATTTTCACAATATTATCAGGTTTCTTTTTAAACTCCTGTACATAAGTCTGACTTATCAGTTTTCAGTGATCTCTCTCTCTCTCTCTCTCTGTTAAGGTCAACGGACGCTGGAAGTAAAGTAAAGCCTTTTCGGCGTGCCCACTTATCAGTGATACGTATCAGTTTATGTAACGGCACGTTAATCAAATTATAACATAAAAGCAAAATTAGATGAGTTTGAGTAAGTGAAAGAAGAGGTGAGAAAAGGCCTCTTACACCCATAATCTTATCTGTAATCTGAGAGACCTGAAACAGAGGATTTGTCAACCATGTCGACGCTTTAAGTTAGTTAAACAATTTATGGAATGTGACAATGTGTAATAATAAAGATGGAAAATCTTTGATTTTACCGATATCAAAGACACCAAAACTACCAACGTTGTTTTGCCAGATTTGCAAGTTTTGAAATTCCTAAAACATTCCCCACAGGTATTTGGAGCGTTTGCGTCTCACCCATGGAACAATCCAGAACCAAAGTTCTACGGGAACGGAGAATGTTTCCTCTTCACCTTACATCCTGAGTGAGTAAACTCTTGCAACTTAAATCTCCCTCTCTCTCTCTCCCTCTCTCTCTCTCTCCTCTCTCTCTCTCTCTCTCCTCCCTCTCTCCCTCTCTCTCTCTCTCTCTCTCTCTCTCTCTTTCTCTCTCTCTCTCTCTCTCTCTCTCTCTCTCTCTCTCTCTCTCTCTCTCTCTCTTCTCTCTCTCTCTCTCGGAGAATGTGTCCTCTTCACCCTGCATCCTGAGTAATATATATAATAGTTTTTTGGAAGGTCTGGTTTTAAAGATACATGGTTAATAAAACAATTATTTATTTATTTAATAAAACAATTATTTATTTTTACGGCACAATCAAACAATATCAATGATATATAAATCAGTGGAGGTTAACCATGTACTGTTTCATGCAGAGAGAGATATCATGTGTGCATAGCCGAACCGGATGTAGAATTTAAGCAATAATATAATTTAGTAACTACCATGTATTAGGGTTGTTTAAAGAGTTAAAACTGATAAATCAAGGAAGGGCTAACCACTTTAGTATCACGCATTAATATTTAACAATCTTATCTTAGAAACGCTGTGTTTCACTGTTTCCAAATTCAAGTTCCTAAATATTATCCCTTTTCCGTTATAGATCAAACTAAAAACAACACAGTTTTCGCCCATTAGTCGTAATTGTCACCTGATCCGAGCAACCCAACCTATTGTTTATACAGCGTGACATATAGCAGCCCTGTACTGTGCCCCGTCACACGGTCACATCTGAGATGTGTGACAGTTTGAGGTGTGACATCTCAAACTGTCACACATTAACATTAATATACCGGGTACCCCTCTCCAGCGTCATTCACTTTGTTCACGTGATAACTAATATAATATTGTGAATCTGGTCAATGAGTAAAAAAATGTTGGTTATATACATCCCTTTATGGTCATGACCTTGCTTTTCTTCTGTACTGTATTTTTCTTCTAGTTGCAACCCTTCTGTTGGAATTTTCGCTCTTGGTACGTTTGTACCTTTACTTCAGTTTTAAGTTTTGCTCCAATCCCTGTCAAACCATAGATGGAGGTATTAATTATCTTTGGGGGCCATCTTTTCGTCTTTGGTATTGAACTTGATGTACAATTTATTCAGTTCAATATAATATAATATATAATAACAATGAACATGCAGTTCATTCACTTACGTCAACAAAACAACCTTTTGTTTCGGAATCACCCGAAAGACACAATACTTCACTATTTAACTATTTCTCTACTTACCCCTTTGTTGCAGAACAATGATAGGAATGCCAGGGTACTCTACCCTGATTTGTTGGTATGTGTTTATTGGGGTTGTGTTAATTGTGAGAGTATCTGTGTTGTTGTTGACGGATCATGATAAGCGGACCCCTGGCCCTTTAACTAACCCTAAACCTGAATATCGCTTTAGCGACATTTCTTGTACGTACAACTGTTAAATTTTGTTTTATTTTAAAAATATTTTGATTCGTCTTACTTACTAGGCTCATGTAAGAGTGTTTACATATGTTATTTTTATCACGTGGTTTTTAATTTACTTTTTTGTAGATAAATTTGATTTTAATTTCAGTACCGTTGGTGGGACTAATATCTCTGAACCTTCTTGGTAACCTGGTTATCTGTACCCTCGCAGTCAACAAGCTTTAGAGCTATTATTGTACGTGATAATCTCCACTCTATTTCTAATTCCTGGACTAAATAACAACAAGTTTTCAATTTGTTTCCAAACTGATAAAAAGTGAGCACGCCGTTTTTTTTGATAAAAATTGGAACTCAGCGAAATTGCTTCTGAGGTTTTTATCGGTGTCTGGAAATCTCCTGGAACAATGCAGGAAGACAAGGAACATATTCCATGACATTATTAGTGGTGAAGCTTTAGTCACATCAAACCGATACATTCTCAACTGGACAAGTATATTTCAGTTATATTGAACCAAAATCAGAGGAAGAAAGCTTGTTAATGTTATACGGTCGATTGTTTGTTCGAATTATTTTACACACAAGATGTTCTTGCAGGACTTGGACAACTATAGACAGAGTGAAAGCTAATTTACTATTATTATAATAGCGGTCATAGTTTCTCTTTGAAACTTTACGTTAGTTTAGTTATTGTTTAGTACCATCTGGTTCCTGAACTTTTCACTTTTTCATTTTAAAATATTTTCACGTTCTGTATTTATACCGTTTAGAGTTTTTTGTTCACTCGGTGATGTTAGTAATTTCTCTTCTCCACTCAGTTTAAGTTAAGATCACATTTTTTAGATAAATTAATTTCTTAAGCGTGCTCTTATCAGATTATTTGTATTGTAATTTGCCACTTTTTTATTCATCGCTTGATAAATATTTAAGCAGTTCACTTTTAGTTCACTAATAATTCACTGTAATCCACTGTGTGGTGAAGAGTGGGTATGTGTGGTATGTGTGGTGACGTATACACAGATACATCATGTTTACTTGCCATGCTTTTAAAAACTAGATCTGAAACACAATCACCTCCATGTTATTTGTCAAGCATTAGCAAACACTGCTCTTTATTATCTCTACTGAATTGGGAACTCTGTAAATTGAGAACACACACTGTGTACTACTGAAATAAAAAAAAACAACCAATTGTTACAGCACCCTGCTTGATTCTGTAACTCAAATATACACCCTCAAGTTATTTAGCGAGACACCTGTTCTCCATTTAGTATAGTTGGTAACTGGTAAAATGAGACTTCTCCTTTGTTTTCTTCTACAGCTTGAGTATAGAATTTTCAAACAAATTAATACGACGTCTTGATTGGAAGAAATTATTACGATTAAGGTGCCGTATTAATTGTTCTATAGTCCAGCTGCTAGAAAAACATTATTAACATTCAACAGTACATTCTATGCAGCTAATAATAAAATATCAACATTTAACGTGGTAAGATTAGATTCATTAATCTTAGATGTCGAAGAATAAGCAATTAGGAAGAACAAATATGATATGAGCTAGTCATTGGGCTTCTCATCAAAAGATTGAATAGAGTGTATAGCTGGATAATGGCTCTTGTGATCAGGCGTTGTTTTAACTTTTAGAAGTGCTGAGACCAGATTTCTACCACAATATTTTTTGCTCTAACTTCAAAGGGACTACTTGATACGATTGACTGTTGTGTATTGAGTGCCTTAGAAATATGTAATTATCAAAGAATCCCAATTAAATTGAACCGAGTCAATCACTCAAATTTCTGGAAAAATGTATAAATATGGAAAACATTAGGAATATTGAAAAAAACAAAAACTGTAATAAAAACTGTATCAGTTCAATTAAAATTTACCTATGAAGCAAATTAAAATTCTGAGAATTCGTTCTAAATCCCTGTTGATTTAGTGCTGACACAGATAACTCTTCAGATTTGTAGTGTACAGATGGACGAGTAAGAACGGTTACTGTCAGCTGATAGAAACAACAGGCTAAGCATGGGTGGTGGCAGGTATTTGTTGTTTGCCATTTCCATATACAGATCACGTACGAAACCTAAAATATGTAAATATCACGTACAAATGCCAGTTAGATACACGTTTAAAACTACAAACAGTCTTAACGTAATCGGTTATCTACTGTTGCATTTTGTTATTGGAGGACACGACTTGCTGTTTAGGTGTAATGTTCAATTTGATGGCAATTTAAATCAATTATGCTATTCATTCTGAAAGTCATTATCGTTGTTTGTGACAAATTGAATTTTTGGCAAATTACTTATTTCTAGGATTTTTGCGTCGCACGCTTTGCAAAAATTGTGATCTTTAGCGCGCAAATGCAGCCCAAATTAATTTTTTCGGCCGGCCGGTCGCGCGCGCCGAAATATTCATATCAATTTCCAGTACGCACTGTGAAACTGATGACTGATCGCGTACGTCCGTCGATCCAGACCGTTCAAACCATGCTCGTCCTACTCTTTTTCAGTCCATGTGGGTCTATGTTTTACTTGAAGCACAATCCAATTTTACTGGTGCTCGTGCCCCGTGACACATTCTAATTTCTCACTCTAACTCAGCTACATTTCAGTGGGATATTTGGACTTTGGCTGGACGAGGATCTGCTTTCGGGCACAACCCAACCCTGTGAAACTTTCGACAACCCCCGTGCTCAGTCACGAGAGCCACTTCAAAGTGTTCGGCATGGAACTCTGGGCATTTCACGATGGTGCTTGAATCTTCGGGGGCCTTTTCTGACTTATTGACAATGTTCACTGTTATTTGCTGGTTTTTTAGGTTTGTAGAGCACGAAAGAAACATTCGAGTTAAAGAAATCGGTCGTGGCTGCTATCACGTGATTATGAACAAGAACAGATTTTTGTAAGATTGTTTAAATTCGTACCGTCTAGTTAATATTTAAATTTTTAGTAGCGAATAATACGATTTGATCTAAAGGCTGTTGATTCTTGATTTTGATTCCTGCATTGCCCGAGCCGAAAATGATATTAGACAGACTTTCTAGAATCACTTACAACAAGCTGAATTTCTCATCTTCATATTGCTTACAAAGGCTTCATCGGAATTTTGATGCGTTGAGTTTAGATTCCACCTGAAAGATGGGAAGATTCTAAGCCCATCAAAATTATGATGTTGGGAATGATACACTATAACAGAAACGAATAATCATTGTTTACTGTGTTGTCTAATTAAGTGGCCTTAATTTACGAGTTTAGTATTTTTTGAGCACTTAACATTTAGTTTTATTAAAGGTTTGTGGTAAGATAAAAAATTAATGCTTTGGCCTTCGAAGTTGGTTAGTAACTTAAAGCTCTGAGGGGTATTTTGTAAACTACTGGACGTTTCAAAATCCGATTGGGTCCTGCAGTTATCGGGAGATTTCGTTATATCAAGGCTCACAAATATGCGAATTTTCTTTTATGATAAACATTTATGATAAAATACGATTATTGTAAAATCCCAAAACCGAATTTTAGTTTTTGTTCAAATAATTCCCAAAAATTAAAAATTCAAAATTTTTTATTCTGGTTTTTTATTCCTAAATTAAATAATAAATATTTAAAAATTCAAAGGGGAAAATTATTTTGACTACCCAAAAAAATAACCCCCTAGGCCCAAAAAGTTTTTAAAAAATAAGTGACCTTCTTTTAAAAGTAAGTGAAAGTGGGGCCCCGAGCTTTCAGGCCCAAATGGCCCCTCGTAAAAAAAAGAAAAAATTTTCGGTCCTGAAAACTTTAAAAACTAAAATGGGCCCGGATTTTGGAAAATAGTTTTACAATTTTTTTCGGGATTTTGACCCTTTTATTAAACCCAAAAATTGGTTTCCCCCACCCAACCATTAACTGACTAAAATGGTTTTTCTTTTGCAAAAATTTCATTTAATTTTTCTACCGAAAAAAGATAAACGCCAATAGGCAATGTTTGAACTAAAATTAAGGAATCATTAAACATTAAAGTAAGTGGAAAGTGCCCAAAACTAGGCGTGGCAAAGAAGCCCCCCAAAACTGTAAAAAAATTTCGGTTGGAAATTTTATCTTTTTAAAAAACTGTGGGAAGGTTTGGAGAATAAATGATTTAAATTTTTTCGGGGTTTTATTCCATTAAAAACCAAATTTTGGTTTCTCCCATCAATTTTCCCTTTACTAAATTGGGTTTCCTGGGAAAAAAATTTCCTTAAAATTTTTTTCCCCAAAATTTGTGTTTTAGGAAAATTTGATATTTGAAAAAGGGCAGACTTTTTGAAAATTTCCCACTTTTGGTTTGTTAAACTTTTGTATGGGCTTTTCCTCGTGAAAACCCAATACAGCAATTCTATTCCATTGCCCCTTATAGTTGACTTACTAAAAGGTAGCGGGGGTTTTAAAACATTTCAAAAACGCAAAAATTTCGGTCCGGAAATTCATTTCAAAAAAACTGAAAAAGGGACAGAGATTTGGGAAATGATTTTACAATTTTATTCGGGATTTGACTTCCCGTACCCCCAAATTTGGGGTTTTATTTCCCTATTTAAATGACAATTGGTTTTTTCCCTGGGGAAAAAAATTTATCTAATTTGCCCCAAATTTTGTTGGAAATTTGATATTCGAAAAAGGGCAGCTTTTTGAAAATACAAATTTTCGGTTTTGTTAAACTTTTCTGTGGGTTCCTCCGACCGAAAAAACTTCCCCCACCTCTTCGGTCATATGCCACTTATAGTTTAAACCCTTACTAATTTAGCGGTGAGAAAAATTTAGTAAAAAACTTTTAAAATTCGGTCCTGGAAATTTCACTTCAAAAACTGAAAAAAGGGACAAGATTTGGGGAATTGATTTTTCAATTTTTTCGGGTTTTTTACTTCCGTACCCAAATTTGGTTTCAAACCATCATCAATTAACTGGGCTAATTGGTTTTCTGGGGAAAAAAAAATTTTATCTAATTTGTCAAAATTTTGTGTTCAGGAAATTTTGATTTGAAAATGGGACGACTTTTTGAAAATCAATTTTCGGTTTTTTAAGCTTTTCCTGCGAGGCTTCCCCCGACTGAAATCCAAAACTTTCCCCCCACCTTATCATGTCCCCCTTGGCCACCTATATTGACTTACTTAATTGGTTTAGCGGGGGGGAGAAATTCATTCAAAAAATGCAAAAAATTTCGGCCCCCGGAAATTTTCTTCAAAAAAAATGAAATGGGACAAGAAATTTGGGAAAATAGGGTTTTTTCAATTTTATTTTGGGTTTTTTTACTTCCCCCCGTACCCAAATTTGGTTTCATACCCCAAACAATTATGATAATTGGTTTTTCTGGGCAAAAATTTCTCTAATTTGTAAAGTTGTTTTGTTCAGGGAAATTGGGGTACGAAATGGGACGATTTTGAAAATACAACTTTTCGGTTTGTTAAGCTTTCTGCTGTGGGCTTCCTCCGACCGAAATCAAACTTCCAGCACCTTTATCGTGTCATATGCCACTTATAGTTGACTTACTAATTGGTAGCGGGTGAGAAATTCAGTAAAAACTGTAAAATTTCGGTCCTGGAAATTTCATCTTCAAAAAACTGAAAATGGGACAGAGATTTGGAGAATATGATTTTACAATTTTATTCGGGATTTTGACTTCCAGTACCCAAATTTGGTTTCATACCATCATCAATTAACTGACTAATTGGTTTCTGGGCAAAAATTTCATCTAATTTGTCAAATTTGTGTTCAGGAAATTTGATATTTGAAAATGGGACAGACTTTTGAAAATACAACTTTTCGGTTTGTTAAGCTTTCTGCTGAGGGCTTCCTCCGACTGAAATCAAACTTCCAGCACCTCTATCATGTCATATGCCACCTATAGTTGACTTACTAATTGGTAGCGGGTGAGAAATTCATTCAAAACTGCAAAATTTCGGTCCTGGAAATTTCATCTTCAAAAACTGAAAATGGGACAGAGATTTGGAGAATATGATTTTACAATTTTATTCGGGATTTTGACTTCCAGTACCCAAATTTGGTTTCATACCATCATCAATTAACTGACTAATTGGTTTCTGGGCAAAAATTTCATCTAATTTGTCAAATTTGTGTTCAGGAAATTTGATATTCGAAAATGGACAGACTTTTGAAAATACAACTTTTCGGTTTGTTAAGCTTTCTGCTGTGGGCTTCCTCCGACCGAAATCAAACTTCCAGCACCTCTATCGTGTCATATGCCACTTATAGTTGACTTACTAATTGGTAGCGGGTGAGAAATTCAGTAAAAACTGTAAAATTTCGGTCCTGGAAATTTCATCTTCAAAAACTGAAAATGGGACAGAGATTTGGAGAATATGATTTTACAATTTTATTCGGGATTTTGACTTCCAGTACCCAAATTTGGTTTCATACCATCATCAATTAACTGACTAATTGGTTTCTGGGCAAAAATTTCATCTAATTTGTCAAATTTGTGTTCAGGAAATTTGATATTTGAAAATGGGACAGACTTTTGAAAATACAACTTTTCGGTTTCTTAAGCTTTTTGCTGAGGGCTTCCTCCGACTGAAATCAAACTTCCAGCACCTCTATCATGTCATATGCCACCTATAGTTGACTTACTAATTGGTAGCGGGTGAGAAATTCATTCAAAACTGCAAAATTTCGGTCCTGGAAATTTCATCTTCAAAAACTGAAAATGGGACAGAGATTTGGAGAATATGATTTTACAATTTTATTCGGGATTTTGACTTCCAGTACCCAAATTTGGTTTCATACCATCATCAATTAACTGACTAATTGGTTTCTGGGCAAAAATTTCATCTAATTTGTCAAATTTGTGTTCAGGAAATTTGATATTCGAAAATGGGACAGACTTTTGAAAATACAACTTTTCGGTTTGTTAAGCTTTCTGCTGTGGGCTTCCTCCGACCGAAATCAAACTTCCAGCACCTCTATCGTGTCATATGCCACTTATAGTTGACTTACTAATTGGTAGCGGGTGAGAAATTCAGTAAAAACTGTAAAATTTCGGTCCTGGAAATTTCATCTTCAAAAACTGAAAATGGGACAGAGATTTGGAGAATATGATTTTACAATTTTATTCGGGATTTTGACTTCCAGTACCCAAATTTGGTTTCATACCATCATCAATTAACTGACTAATTGGTTTCTGGGCAAAAATTTCATCTAATTTGTCAAATTTGTGTTCAGGAAATTTGATATTTGAAAATGGGACAGACTTTTGAAAATACAACTTTTCGGTTTGTTAAGCTTTCTGCTGTGGGCTTCTTCCGACCGAAATCAAACTTCCAGCACCTCTATCGTGTCATATGCCACCTATAGTTGACTTACTAATTGGTAGCGGGTGAGAAATTCAGTAAAAACTGTAAAATTTCGGTCCTGGAAATTTCATCTTCAAAAACTGAAAATGGGACAGAGATTTGGAGAATATGATTTTACAATTTTATTCGGGATTCTGACTTCCAGTACCCAAATTTGGTTTCATACCATCATCAATTAACTGACTTATTGGTTTCTGGGCAAAAATTTCATCTAATTTGTCAAATTTGTGTTCAGAAAATTTGATATTTGAAAATGGGACAGAGTTTTGATAATACAACTTTTCGGTTTGTCAAGCCTTCTGCTGTTGGCTTCCTCCGACCGAAATCAAACTTCCAGCACCTCTATCGTGTCTTATGCCACCTATAGTTGACTTACTAATTGGTAGCGGGTGAGAAATTCATTCAAAACTGCAAAATTTCGGTCCTGGAAATTTCATCTTAAAAAACTGAAAATGGGACAGAGATTTGAACAATATGATTTTCACTTCCAGCACCCCATAATGGGACAGAGCAAGAATGTGAGAAATGATACAGATAAGGTCGCTTATCTGAATCAAATAATCATCACATCTCACTCTCAGGGATATTATTACATATTACGTAAATATTTTTTGGAACATTTTTATCCCCGGCCCCCCCCCCCCTCCGTATTCAGTTTTACACATAGCTATTGTGTCAAAATTACACTAACGGAATCATTTGGAAACCCCCCCCCCCCCTCAGCTGATTACGTAATATGTGAACGACCCCTAAGAGAATGTTCTATTTCACCCAGTTAGGTGGTCTCATCCTTAACTTTGAGTTTCTACTCTTTATTTCTCATTGTGAGTGTTTGAAGTTAATTTGGGAGCGAAGTTCGGTTTGGCTTAAAGTCAAAAAAGTTGGGCGATTGATTTAGCTTAAATAATAAGTGGTAAATGGTAAAATAACTAAATTATTTGAGTTGTCTTTATCAAGCATCGAACTCTGCAGACAGGTTAAGACTAATGTTTACCTGGGGACCCCAGGCTATTATATTTATGTTTATAAACATAATGATTCCGCCGAATAAATATTCGGCGGAATGACAGGCTGATCGCCGCCCAGTAAGACTTAATGTCTAACTTTAAATTATATCTTGGTTATCCTGGGAAAGAATTGAGAATTGGATGCTGAATAAGTTAACTTTACCCCCCAGTTCCATGGCCAGATATTATGCCAAATTATT